AAAATCAATATGTAATCCTGTGGAGGAGCTTATCCCCTAAAACCCCATTTGTAAATCTATTTTAGCTTTGTTACACAGCACAGCCACAGTCTTCCATAGATTGATTAGGTACAGCGGTAGAATCCTATCAAATGGCCTGTTCTGATGATGATGCAAACTCTTTCAGGATTGCTAGTTGACTGGAACTAAAGATAAGACTTGACTGCAATCCCCCAATGTGCTCTTTACAAAACTAGTGTTAATTTTCATCAAAGTGCCAGGCTTATTTATAGTGGCAAGGTTGAAGGTTTACTACAAGAACTTTAGGTCCTTTCTATTAAAGTGTTTATAGGTATTTCTCTTGCCTTTTTTCAAGGTAATTATCAACTTCAGCAAATAAACTGAATCAGGGAGTGAATAATTGGCCCTATATATAAAAAAGAGTTTTTTAAAGTAACAAAACAGCTCAGTGCAGATGGACATAAACAGAATCTCTTTATTTCAACACTTTGACTCAAATGCAGCATCAAAACTTAATCCTATTTGTTACGAGAGGATATGGCTTTTGTAGCAAAAGTACACTGGAATCTTTAAATTAATCAGAACCCACATTGTAGTTTGTCCAAGCCAAAATCAGTGCAGTTAGCTAGCTGTCACTGGTGTTATAGGTGAGTAATCAGTTCTTAAAATGCATAACAGGTAACACGTAAACTTACATGCAAGTTTTTAAAACATAACATTTCTAGCTGAAGCTATTTAAAACAGGATTTTAAAAAAATTTAGGCTTGAACATGAGAATGTGAATTTTGATCAATTTTAAATGTAATATTACATTTTTAAAAAAAGATAAAAATAGTTTACTTAATTTCTCAAATTAGCATTCAAATATATATGTATGTGTATGTAAACATATGCATGAGTTTGTGTACATATATTATATAATTTATTCCCATTATGAGAAAAACATGAAGTAAAAGTATAGTTTTGCTAATGTAAAATCTATTCACTGCACATTGCTATTTCCTATACAGTTGACTAATATTTTGTAGACAGATATTAATGTAGCACTGTAATGACAGATTTAATATTTTAAAATCCTATAAATTATGCTGGGATATTTTAAATTCTAATGTCATTTAAATTTGACTCTGAAATAATGAAAATTACCTAAATATTCTTAATTTTTAAGTGATTTCATTACAGTTATAGAAAATGTCATTACTGAGCTAGGGAAAAGTTAAGATATTTTAAATTACTCAATACTTAAAAGGTTAAAATTTTCTTTAACGCCCTCTTTTATCCATTTTGTTAAAGTCCTAGTTTTTTCAATATTAATGAAATCTTGGTATTTTTAATTACTAATTAAAGCCTTAAAAGCAACTGGTCAAGTTCATAAAAGGAATAATTAAGAAAATTATATGTGTTGTTAAAATTTATGTTTTCTTGGTTTAATTTTTTTAATATAATTTTCAATTTAATTCTGTTTTTGAAAATTTCGTCAATTGTAAAGCTCTTCGCAAAATGTTTTGGAATAAATCAAAGCTTATAATCAGAATGATTTCTTGAGGTTGGAAGTGAAAAAATTAATATTCATTAAACTAGTAATCTTAATATAAAATTTAGTTTCAAATCTGTTACACATTTAGGTTTTTTCTGAAATAATATTTCTAGAATTATAGTTACCTGAAATTAGACTAGATGACATTTAAGATCTTTCCAACCTGGAGAGCCTATTAATTTACCTGCTGAATAAGACTGATTTAAGAACAAGGACCAGATTAAAAAATTTTCCAGCATTCCTGTCCTCAGTTGCATTTAAATCCAAAGAAAAAAAATTGTGATATATATGGCTGCTCTTCAGTTTTGCTGTTTATTATTTTTTAAATTATTATATTCAAAGAAACCCTTTCCAAATAGTTTCTGTATTCATCTCTATGCTATAGAATATTTCATTTTTAAAATAAAAATGTAATAGTGATCAGTTATTTAATGTTTTTGTGTGATGTTTTATATCAAATGTGGATAATTAACATATAGCATGTTTCATATAAATATGTATGTATGTGTTAGAGCTTATAATGAAAGAAATAGTGATAAATTGAATAAAACATTCTAGCTTTTTGCTGCTTTTCTAACCTTTATTGCATGATGATGCATCTAATTTTTAATTTGTAAATACAAGATAGAATTCCCTCTAGCACCATTTGCTTTCATAAAGCTGCTGAGCAGTTTGCTGTCTTGAATAAATTTTGCTTTGGAGGGGGTGGGGGGGATTTGAACCAGCACATTCTTGTGTGGTTTGTGAAGATTCACATGGTAACCAGCGGTGTGCATTGTTAGGTTTATCTGAATAAGCACCAGCCATGTGAGTTTTAACATGATTGCCCAGGGCAATGGAGAGAGAAGAGAGAAACCCGAAAGGATTGCACTTCTCTCTGTTTTTTGGAAAGTGCATTTGCTGGGGGAGGGGGCTACAGGAGTCAATGGCCATGGTTCTTTTTTTTTTTTTTTTTTTTTTTTTTTAAAGCTGGTGTCCTGTTTCCCTCTAGGTCCTCATTTGTTCTGCTATCTGCCTCATCATCTACTACTTCTTTTCATTGTTTACCTTCCTAATGAGGGAGGCGGGGTAGACTGGGGGTTGATTGACAGCTACAAGCCCTTACAGTCTGGCCAGAGAGCAGTTGGCTTTGGTTTCAAAAGTGTTTTAAATGTTCGATTTGGTCCTGTTTTTATTAAATGAAACTGCTGCTCATCTTAAGGAAATCATCAGACCAGCAAAGATTAGGAAATATATTATTGGGGTCTAAAACCTTTAAAAAAAAACGCCCCCCATCCATGGAAAGAGCACTGCCCATCGGGTTTTCCAACCTTTAACATAGGGTTTCAAAAAGAAATATGTAATTTTTCCTTTGCAAAAGTGCTTTGATTTGAAACCACCCAGCAAACGTCTCCAAAAGAAAACTGGCTGTGATGCGATCGAGAGCTGCAGTGTAATATTGCAGAGCAAATTTATTTTTTACTTCAAAGAAAAATGCTAATTAGCCGATTCACTACTTTTAAAGTTATTGTGAAGCATATGGCGCCCAGTGTGAGATACATCCAACTGCTAAAATAGAGCGAAGAGGAAATTAGTGAAGAATGGGCTGTTTGGGGTGAGAGTGGGGGTGGGGGAGGAGGATAGGTTCTCAGGCAGATTCTCTAGCCTTTTCAGAATGATTTTATCGCCCATCACTGTTTCCCGCCTCCTCATTTACCCACTTCCCCCACTGCCAACCCCTGGGCCAGCCTCTTCTGGGCCTCTAGCTCCCCTCCCCCACTTTGGCTGGATTCAGGTGCGCACCTCAGGCTAGCCACCGGTTCACACCTGGTTCTAGGCAGGTTCCAACCCTGCCGCAGCCATCTCCATTCACAGGACATATTTAGGAAGTAGAGTTTTAGCGAGGAAGCCTTCACCACAACAGCCAAACTCCCCAGAAAACACTAGCTAGTGGCTCTATAATGTGGTTTGCTGAGAAATATAAGGAAACTGGAAACGGCGGGAAGGGGAGGGCGGGGGACCGGGTGTTAGGAGGCCCTGCCCGTGGGTAACTAGCCTCCCGTCTTCTGCAGACTGGCAGAAGACCGAGGCCCAGAAGCGACGCGAGCAGCTTCTGCTAGATGAGCTGGTGGCCCTGGTGAACAAGCGCGATGCGCTCGTCAGGGACCTGGATGCGCAGGAGAAGCAGTGAGTGGGCAATGGGGTCGGGTCGAGGCTGGGCCACCTGCCGAGGGGCTGAGAAGTGTGCGGAAAGTTCAATCCAGAGGTCGCGGAAGGGCCGGGGCAGCCTCCCGCTGGCCTGGTGCTCCCCATTCCCGCTGGGGATCCAAATACTGGGCGACGGGGGAGTGCTGCTCTGCCCTCCACGAAGAAAAATAATTTTGTTTCCTGTTTGTCCTGTTTGTCTGACATCCAGGGCCGAAGAAGAAGATGAGCATTTGGAGCGAACTCTGGAGCAAAACAAAGGCAAGATGGCCAAGAAAGAGGAGAAATGTGTTCTTCAGTAGCCATCAGATCAGAAAGAATCTCTCCCAACATTTTAGAGTCTTGGTTCCCAGACCAGAAAAAGTCAGACTCATTGTTGATTTAAAACTTTTAACATTTTGTTTGGCTGGATTGTACTACTTTACCTCTACTTTACCACCACCACCCTTTCCCTCCCTCCTTTCCAAATAATATACAGAACTCCAGAATAGCTTTGTTTAAGGATTTTTTGTGAGTTAACAATTTCCTTGAAATCCTGTGAAATAGATTTGCACAGACACCTTGTGAGTGATTGGTATTGGAGGTGTTCAAGAAACTGTTCAAAAAAGAACAAAAACACTTCCCTCATTATTTTATCTCATTTTTTGATGGGAGGAAAATTTGAAACATTATTCTTGTTGTTGGTAATAGCATAATGACAGTGGGAGGGGGGTACAAGGGGATAAGAAAAATGTCATGATTTTTTTCGAGTCCTGCCATTTGTAACACTTACTCTGTTACCTAAATTTCATAGTTAGATCATATCCAATCTACTTATTAAACTGTGTTCTATTTACCAGTGGAGTTTTTCTGCAGTGGTTGTGCTTCACTGTAAGGATAATGGAGTTCCTCTCCTCTGCTTTCCTCAGAGGATGGTCCTTTAACGTAGCCAGAAACAAGCCCTGTGGTTTGAAGGTGAGCTGTGAGGATGGAACTAATTGATATGCACCAGTTTACAAAGACAGTCTTATCATCCGAGAATACACCATCTTTTTCTCTGGATAATTATTTCTTACATCATGCTTGATTCCTACATTTTGTTGGGTCTCAACATTGGCTCACAAATGCTGTTAATATTTATTCTGTATTGATAAAAAGTCTGTCTTGCCACTACAAGTAAATCCCCCATTTAATATTTTCTTCTTTAGCATAGCACTGTCATTTTTGTGAAAATGGTTATGTTTATTTATTACAATACTGAGTCATATATAAATTTTCAATAAAAGCAGAAACTTTCTTACCTTAAACATGGCTGCTACTTTCTTGCAATGAAAACTTGACATTGGTTTGAATGGAAGTTTGTCTATCCATAAGACTTTTCATGTGGAAAATGGTCCTCTGGAACTTAGGGCAGGATACTGGGCTGCATTTGAAGCTGAATAAGTTTACACCATCCCAGAGGGGGCCCTGCTGACACACGAATGCGAATTGAAAAGTAATTAGTCATATTCTTAAGCAGTATAAACTATCATGTCTTTTGTAAAGTGTCATGTCTGCTAAAGATTTGAGGATATTTGTGATTCCACACCAATGAAAAAATATTAATATCTTGAATTTTCCACGTCATCACTTTGAATTGTTAGAGTTTTGATGTCGTATTAGGGAGAGTCGTGTCTTCTGATAACCGGCAAGTCTGTAGGTACTGAAGTGAAAGGAAGAGGGTTATTGTTGGGGGGCGGGGAGAATGTGTGCAGGTATGTGTGTATGAAATGAGTGAAAGAGAAGTTTTAACAAGAAGTTCTAGGCTACAGGGGAAAAAAAAAACCACACACACACACACACACAAAAACGATTCTGTGGTACTTTCCTTCACTCCCCCACAGGGGTGTCCAAACAAAGAAAGCTTGTTCAACAAGTCCAGAAACTTAGAGAAAACAGTCCACTAGCATTTATACTTTACCGTAGATCATATGTGTGTACACACAAAAAAATTTCGTTCCAAATATGCAGCCACCTCCAATTGCCAGTCTTTCAAAATGATAAAAACTTGCTACGGTAGAATTGCTTCATGATAAGGATTTCTTTTAAGTTATTGAAAAGTTATTTTAAGTAAAGGAAGTCGGTATTTGCCCTCTGTATTCGAGCAGGAGAGCAGAGAGAGCTGCTGCTCTCTGGGGAACGCTCTCAGAATCCCGTTCTAACCCCGGGAAAACTCAGCAGACAGAAATCGCCCGCCCCAAGCAGCCTGGGGCCTGGGCGGCCAGCAGCACCCACCCAGTTTACGCTTGATTCGAGGAACCTTCTCTCCCGAGGGGCCTCGCCGAAAAGCAGCTCCTTTGCCCCCAAAGCCGCTCCCAATAGGCCAACTGACAACCCTTCCCTGGCCCCAGATTTGCTAGGATGGTCTGGGACCGCCGGGCGGCCCCTCTACCTGCCTCTCCAGCTTTAGCCCCAAGCCTCCCGGGGTTTCCATTTGGGCTGCTCCGTGGCGCCCGAACGCCCCTCAGCGGCGGTGGAGCGTGGACTCCGGCGCCTGGCGGGGTCGGGCCCGCGGCAAGGGCGCTGCATCCGGACATCGCTGCGTGGTGCCCAGACGCTGGCTCCCGAGAGCGGGCACGAGCCCAGCACGCCAGAGGACCTGGAATGCCCGCGCTGCGGGAAAAGAGGCTATCGGTCCGAGGGTCGCAGAGGAGCAGGGGCGTTGGCGGCAGGCTTGCTTGGGCACAGTCTGCGGGCCGATGCAGAACTTCCGCCCCTGGCCAGATCCCTCGGCCTCAGATCCAAAGCCCTCCCCCTGTCCCAAGTGTCCTCCAGAGCCCGGCCCGGCCTGGAGGTCACCTGGATGCTGGATCCGCGTTTCCAGACCCAACTCCCTCGCTCCTTCCCGGCCCGGGGGCCTTAAGCTGGACGGCTTCACCTCCTCCAGTGGTGTCCCCACTTCCCCTTCCCGCACCGCGGCCGATGCTGGAACGTTCATGGCTTCTGGCCCAGCGTCTCCCACCTGGACATTTGCCTAGCGACGGCCACCTCAATCCTCTGCGCCGCTTTCAAGAAACTTTCATCCCAGTCTCTCTCCCTCTCCACTCTCCTCCCTCTCCCCCTCTCCTCTCTCTTTCTTTTCTTAATCCTGGGGTTTTATGGGCTGAGCGTTAAGAAAATTCGCCTGCAATTTGGGATTAGATAAATACTCTCATTAGGAAAAAAAAAAAAAAAATCCGTGCTACTTGATACCTCCCAACTTCCCCGAGAATGGTGGCAGCATCTGGAACCGAGAGCGCCGGACTCCCGCGAGGCGTGCCCCGGGGACCGCGCGGGCACATTCCAGCGCGCACTGCCGTCCCACCTCGCCGCGCGGGACCAGGTCAGGTGCTGAGGCTGCAGGCGAAACAGGGCCTGGTGGAGGGAGGAATGCGTAAGGTGGAGGAATGGGGAAGGGCACCCGCCCCCGCACTGGAGGGCCAACCCCCGCACACAGCGGACTGGCCCGGACTGGGGCAGCGCCGGGCTATGGACGCAGACGCCGACGATGCGCACCCCGGGACGTCCGCATGTTCTTTTCCCCAAAACTAGTGCGCTCTAGCCTGCGCCTTTCCTCGGAACCTAAGGCGAGGGTATATTTCGTTGCTTTCTTTAAACCTCAGCACGATCACAGTGGCTCCGAGCCGCGGGTGGCTGACCGCGGGCCTCGTGGGCTACTCCTGGTAGGGGCCTGCGCGAGCCTAAGGTGTGTGCCCGCCTGGGTTAGCGCTGCGCTCTGCGCTGTTTCTTTTCCTCTTAAAGCTTCTTTCTCACTCACTCTCTCCCTCCTTCTCTCTCTAATTTTTTCCCATTTCTCTCGTTCTTTATTCAGCTTTCTCTCCCTTTTGTGAATGGGCCGCGGTGTCTTTGTTCTGGAGAGAAGCGCCCGTGTCGCTGACTTTTGTGAACCAGAGAAGGATCTTGTAAAACCTCCTTTTCTCCTTCGTACGCCCCAACTCCCACCCCTCCTCCCCTGCCCCTTTGATTAGATGTTCCCTCATCGTCCAAAAAAAAAAAAAAATGTAATTTCGTTGGTCTGGCGGCCACTTTCTTTGAACATTAGCTCGCTTTCAGCTCCAACTTCAATTAGAAGGAGTTGATTTTGAGAGATCAACAAAAGAACCGACCAAAGCCTTATTAAAGGTCCTAAGAAGATCTCCCGGGTCCTTTGAGAAGCAGTTAAGGAAACAGTGTGCCCTCCATCATATTCTGTTACCGTATTTTATTCGGACTCCAAAGGAAAGTGTCGCTTGGGGGAGGGGGAAGCACTTTGATGAGCGGCGGCCGCGGCCCCTTTTCACTCAGCGGGCTCCCCCTTCCTTCTCCTCCTCCTCACCCAGCGCCCTGTCTGCTCTCCGCGCCCGACCCCGCAGCCTGGGCAGCACGGGTGCTCCCCACTGCGATGCGCCTGGAGGCTCCTTGACTCGCCCTCACACTTACTCCTGTGCAAACTTTTTACCCCGCCTGTCGGGGTGGGGGAGTGGGGGAGATTAGAAACAAGGGGTAGAAATTCCTCGAAAGGGAATAAAGTGCCTAATTTTCAGAAGGAGGTGCCATTTAAAAGATTCTCCTAGCTCAGAGTTGGAACGAAAACTCTTTTTTGCACTTTTAAAAGTCCACCCAGGCAGACGTGTTTGGGAAGTTTGTTCCACTGGGAAATGGGCTTCGCCCGTACGAACAATCCGGGGAAATCGCCTCAAGGAGGCTCCTTACGCAGCATGTGGAAAAAAGTTGAGGGCAGGGGTCTGTGGCCACATTTTCCATCAAAAAGTCCCTGTTAGAGGCAGACTAGGAAAGAGAGAGAAAGAATGAAAAAGAAACTTTCCTATCAAAATGTTTGAATTAAGAAGTAGGGTGTACATGTGAGGGCAAGAGGACGCTGGGCTCCAACGTTTCAGAAGAAGCGCTTAAGGCTTGCAAACACCCTTGGTGGGGACCGGGAACCCCGGGAGATGCCGATGAGCAGGTAAGTGGCTGTGCCCTCCCAGTGGGTGCTCTTCCCAGGCGCGAGAGTCCCGAGGCGCGGAGGAGACATCTGCACGCCCGGAGCTGCTCCCGCGCTCTGCAAAGTAGCCTGCGCCGGCACGAGCCGCCCGCGGCGTCGGTCTCAGGTGGCGGTGCAGAGGAAGAAAACGCTGGGGCCCGCGGCGCCAGGAGAGGGGCCGAGGCCCGGGCTCCTCCAGCCCGCCGCCCCCGGGTCCTGGCGCCCACACCCGGGCGGCTGAGCCCGGTGGCGCGCAGGAGAGCGAAGGAACCGGTTCTCCAGCACCTCTCCTCGTCTCTGCCACTCCCTCCGGAGCGCCGAGAGCGCGAGAGAAGGGCGGGGGCGCCCAGGGAAGGCCTGGAGACCCGCGGCCCCCTCCGCGGCCAGGACTCGGGCTCTCCGCTCGCCTTCCTCGCCTAGCTCTGAGCCGCTTTTGCCAGCCGAGTCCCGGAGTTAGCGCGCGACCGGGGCGGGGCGGGCGGGAGGGGAGGGCGGGGTGTGGGGGGCGGGGGAGGGCGGGGGCGCGCGGAGGTAACCCCCGGCTCGCGCTGCCATTGCCCGGCTCCCTGTCACTCAGCCCGCGCGGGGCCCCCGATTGGCGGCCTAGCCCCGTTACGCACTCGCCTCGCGTTCACATACCCGGGGAGGGCAGTAGAAAGGTGATCAATCTTCATCAGGCTACATTTCCAATCACCTAAACAACCGAGCAAGACAAGCCACTCCGACAAGGTAAATCGCTTGATTTATTTAGTTTGCAAAGTGACTCTGCAGGACTTCCCAGTCCCCACTGCCTCCACGTTGCACCGGGAGTGCCGCGGTAACGCCGAGCCACCTCCCAACTCTGCCCTCGAATTCCCCCCCTTGCGGCCCCTCGGCGCGATTCCGGGCGAGGCAATGTCCTGCCTGAGAACGTGTGGGGCTTAGCAAACAAAGTGTCTGTGCAATAAAGTGAAACCCAGAGGGACACGCACAAAGCCACTGAAAAAAAAAAGATAGAGGTGGGAGGAAGGAAGTTGGGAAAAGAAAGAAACCCGGGGTCCTAGACCAGCCGCCGGGGTAATTCCTGTGCCGCTCTGTTTTGCAGGTTGGCTGCCCGGCGGGTCTCTGTGAGAGATCCAGGTAGATGGTGAACGTCCCCGGCAGCTGAGGGCAGGTAAGGAGAAAGCCGCGGGACCATCCCGGACTCCGGGAGCGCGTTGGTTACCCTTACCTCCCCCTCCTCAAATGGATCCCCACTTCCCCGGTCACCAGCAGGTGGGCGGGGCTGGGGGAGCGGCCTAGCTCCCCTCTTGGTGAGCCGAGGACCCCGGGGCGCTGTCGCGGCCCGCCGCTCCCTCCCCCGCCTCCTCCGAAGTAACCAAGCTGAAGTGCTAAGTTTGGAGAAAGTCTTTGAAAACTCACGCTGCAGCTTCGCAAAGCCGTCGCAGCTTTGAGTCCCATTTTCCTTCGGCCCTAGAGCCCTGGCTGCTTCTCTTCTCGTCCCCTTCCTACAAGCTGGACTCCCTCAGCCCAGGTCTTGGATCCCAGAAGACCGGGGTGGGAACGGGGCAGGGGGGAGCTTCTTTAGCTCTAACTTCTCTCCCTGAACGTCCTAGCCCGAGTCCCTGGCCTGCTTCACAGCGATCCCGCTAAGCGGGGTGTAGCAATGGCCCCCCAGAGCCCCAGGCCCAGTTTCCAGCGCCCCTCCCTGACCCCTGAGAGTGCCGCCCCGGGTTCCTGGCAGCGGCGGGGGCGAGGCTTCCACCTCCCAGCTCGGGTCTGCGTGGGCTATGCCGCTGAGGCCTACTTCTCTGTTCTCGACAGTGTCCTGGGGCCGCGGGTTCAGCTACAAGGATGACAGCACGGGACTTGCTGCCCTCCGGCTTTGCAAATCCCCGAGACCCTTTGAGGTGCTAGGTCAGTCACCCTTCACCCCCTGCTGGGACCCTGTGGTCCGCAGCACAGACTGGACAGAGAAGGCCGGGTGCGCGCTGGCAACGAAGGACGCTGGCCGCAGCTGAGACGCTCCCGACCTCAGGCCGCGTCTTGGGGTCGCCCCCCTCTACAGTGGCCTCTTCGGCGTCCCCTGGCCCTCTGCGAGGCCTGGGCCGGTTACTGCGGTTGAGGTGTGGTGGGATTTCGCGTCAGCGATCTTTCAGTGGCTGGGCACAGAGAGGTCAGCTGGAATGGTGATTGCGGGCTCTGGGGCAGGGGCGCAGCCCTGGAGACCTTTGAAGGAACCAAGTGTCCTAAGTGGACAAGAGGTTGAGGTGCGGTTAGCCCTCCACATTGCCTCACCTTGGCCCTTTGTAGTCTCTACCTTTTCAAAAACACGTGAAACAAAATGAAACAACCCCTCATGCTCCGGGAGGCCTGCCGTCCCGGCACCAAGTGAACGTTTGCTTGTGCAACATGAAGCTGGCTTCTGCCGGATTCAGAATTTTGCCTGGACTTGGGAGCTTGCACACTCCGCGGTTCTTGCTCTGACCTCCCCAGCCTGGCCTGGCTTTGACTTCTCCTTACTCCTATGGACTCCCTACCAGTGTCTTTGGCTCATTCCAACGCTGGAGCCAGACGACCCAGAAAACTTTACTTTTCAAAGCAACTGTGGTTTCTGGGCTAAGGCCTTGTGGATTCCAGTTGACCACCCTGCGCAGTTCTGTAACCTGCCTTCCCTGTCTATCCCGGGGTAAGACTTGGCAGCCAAGTGGCTCCGATTGATGGTTTCCGTGTGTCTCGTGTCTTCATAGGCCAGGCCCCCAGACGCATCAGACCCTGAAGGACTGCGGTGGGAGCCCTGCACCGCTTCTGGCCCCAGGTCCCCTGGATCCGTCGGGGCGCCTCCACCCAGCTGTTAGCATGATGTCTTACCTCAAACAACCCCCATACGGCATGAACGGGCTGGGCCTGGCTGGGCCCGCCATGGACCTCCTGCACCCATCCGTGGGCTATCCGGGTGAGCACCAGCCCTCCCGACCCTGCTTCAGCCTCTCCAATGTTGGGGCCCCCCAGACTGTTGGGTTTGAGTGCAAGCTTTGTTGCCGAGCAGGCCCAGGGAGTCAGCTATTGCAATACAGGGCCCACTGCCTGTTTACAATACAGGGCCCACTGCTGGCGCACGGGGCAGAGTCGTGGGCATGTGAGGTGGCCAGGGCTGAGAAAACGCGCAATGTGCGCCTTCCTGGCCGGGTCACCGGCAACCTTTCTCCTGTTGTGGTCCCACCACCAGCGCAGAGCTCATTTACCTGCGGATTCGCTACCCAGGGGCGGCTAGTGTTTTTCCTTTTCCCCCAACATGGAATGAGTAATCTGGACACTCGTTAGGCCCTGACAGAAAGAGCCAAACTTTCCTTATGCGAAGCGGCAGGCTGGACTGAAGGAGTATTCTTCCTTCCTAATTAAATTGTCCTCTAAATTGATGTCCTGCATCCATTTTTGCACTGCTGTAGAGGACGACCTGAGCCAAACCCGGGGTTCTTTAGCTCCGGCTCCTTTACCCCATTTATTTTCTCCGAAAGTGTTTTTCAGGTCGTGTTTCTGCCTACCTCTTCCCCACTCCCTGTCCCCTAGCCAGAGAGAGAGAGAGAGAGAGAGAGAGAGAGAGAGAGAGAGAGTGTGTGTGTGTGTGTGTGTGTGTGTGTGTGTGTGTGTGCGCGCGCGCGCGCGCGCGCAGGGGAGGGGGAATGTGGAAGAAGGGAGATTGTAGACTTCTCTTACTTTTTTTTAACCTCTGAGAGGCATAGAGAGGGGCAGCCCTTGAATCTTGGAGACACTGGCTTCTAGTCGCACATCTGCACTTTCTCCCACCTGTGGCCTCTCAGGCTCGGCCGCCCGAGGGAGTGTCTTTTATTCCCAGTTCGGCTTTCTCTTGCGAAGGCCGAGCTCTGGGCCTGCCAGGGGCCTGCCTGAGTGCTCTATCGCTGGTCCGCGTGGCCACCAATGACCCGCGGCGCCCCCGCGTGTCCCCGCAGCCACTCCACGGAAGCAGCGGCGGGAGCGCACCACCTTCACGCGTTCACAGCTGGACGTGCTCGAGGCACTCTTCGCCAAGACTCGCTACCCTGACATCTTCATGCGGGAGGAGGTGGCGCTCAAGATCAACCTGCCGGAGTCCAGAGTCCAGGTGCGCACTCCCCGGGCTCCAGGGTCTGTGTAGGGGAGCTGAGACTGCTCGGGGAAGGTCTGGGAAGGCTCTTGAGGAGTTCTTGAAGAGACCGTCCTCTGGGGATGGGCTTACAGACTGGGCAGCCCCTCTCGGACTCCCCCTAGCGCTGGACCCCAGCCAGGAAAGGGGGCAAAAGTTAAAGGAAATGGCTTAGAGCCCTGAATTCCGCCCTTAGCCCTAGAGCGCCTTTCGTATCGGTATCGAAAGTACTTTTCAGAATTGCGGGAGGACTAGGGAGGCTCCCGAATGTAAAGCGCCCTGCAGGCCTGACACTTGCCCCTGCTTCTTTGCCTGCCTCAGGACTTGGCAGTTTCCCTCAGAGGCCTGAATTCTGCCTCTGCCCTTGTCTTCCACCCCGGGAATCCTAGAAATGGAAGAGCGGAGATTGGCCGGAGCCTGGTGCTCTGCCTGTGTCTCATTAGACGCTTCCTCTGCTTACAGAGGATGCCAAGTGCAAAATCCTGCTGCCGGCTTTCTTATTTCTGTTTTTGAGATGAAAGGGTTCCGATGATAATGTTCGGATTCTAACTCAGAACTCTCCTCAAGAGCCATTTGTTTCGCCTCCTTTACTGGAAGGCTTGAGAAAGGGGACCAGGAATGCAGTGCCATGTGCTGGGGCTTTCCCAGAAGAGTAACCATTCCATGTGGTTCCCCACCTGGAGCCAAAAGTCCAACGAAATCTCACCCAGGCTTCCTTCCCGAGTCCCTCAAGTTAGCCTCTGGCCTTGCTCCTACCCCCACCCAAATACTCGCCCTGCCCAGTTCTGGCCTCCGGGAGCTGCTCAGTGAAACGGCTCTGGCCCTGGACTTGGTGACTGCTCCACACTCTTCGGCCCTGTACCTCTCCGCTGTTGCCAGAGCTCTGTTAGTAGAAAACTGGGCCTCCAAACACACAGGGGGCCTCCAAACACACAGGGAAGCAGCCAACAGCAGCAATTTAGAGATGGCAGAACTTCTGGCTCGACAGACTGAAATA